AGTCTCTCTCCCCATCAGAAGGGGCTTGTCCGGAGGAATGTTCTGACGTGAGATTTGAACTTCCCTGTTGGAGTCCAAGGACCCACCTGCCTGTCGCTTTGTATGCGCGCGGCTCTGCTGAGCTTGCGGCTTGCCCATCTTCCACTCAAGATTTGGAATTTCTTCACAGTTTCTCTCTTTCCCCCAGACCTTTGTTCCCCTGGAGGACTAGTTAAAACCCGGGTCCTGGGTCCCTCCCCCAGAGATCTTGATTCATTAGGTCTGGGTTGGGGGATGGGGTGGAACTGGTATCCTGACCAGCACCAGGTCAGGCCAGTGCTGCTGGTGGTGACCCAGACCCTTGCCTCCCCTTCCCTCCCCTTCACCCTCAGTTGGGGAAAGGATTAAGACACCATTTGGCCCGAGAATTAATTCATAGGACTACAGAGTGAAATTGAATTTAAGTCAAAATCGAATTTTTAGATTTTTGATACATTTGTGTATATGATTATAGTATTTCTTACTATGGTTGGTGGTCAAGAGAGGCCAGAAAGTCACCGATCGCCTCCACCTTGGAAACGGCCCACTTGCTGGCACTATGCCCATGCATGGTCCTTGGTTCCAGGCCCAGGGCAGGACTCTCAGCCAGGGTCCTCGTGACTCTGGGAAAGGACTGGATTTGTGGTCTCGATCGCCCCTACAGGACCCCTCACCTGCAGCAGCTCCTCATTGTCCTAGTGAGGAGGACGTTCGGTGACCTCATGTCCTAGTGAGAAAATCCTCTGTGCCACACTCCCCAAGGAGAAGGGTCTTCGGCATTTTGAGTTAGTGGTAATGGAAATAAATTTCATGAAGGTGCTATTTAGCCTTAGTCTCTTCTGATCTATTCTGTTCTGTTTCATGTTTTAATCCACGGAATTGGTTTGGGGACCTGATACTGTGTCATGACATGGAGCCAGCGTGAGCAGGAGGAATAGACCAGGCGTCACCCACTAACCCTTTCTGCTGGGGCTCACTCCCTTCCGTCTGTCAGAGATGCTGAGATGCCTCTCTCACCCAAGGCAACCACGTCTCTTCACGTTTCGTGGTCCTGTTCCGTAATGTCTGCTCGGCTTACAGCCTTGGGGCTTTCTTCGTGAACTTTCCCGTATCTTTCTGGAAGGAAACCCTTTATTTCTTCAGCATTTGACTTGCTCTGCTGCGTGTTGGAGTGCTGGGTGTGTGGCTTTGCTTCTCGGTTAGCTTAGAAACCACGCGAGGGCAGGCCCTGCTTTCCCGTTCAGCCACGGACCGCGCCAGATCTGTGGCACCAAATGCCTGGCATGTGGCTGGCAGAAGGAGCGCAGCCAGGTTGTGCTCCATTGTATCAGGGGCCGCAGGGCCCAGATTCGGTCTCTAAGTTTGTTTCACTGAGTGAGTGTGTTCTGATTCCAAGGAACGGAGTTGGAGAAAATGAGTCTCTGCTTCCTTGGTTCTCCCGTGTGTGTGGCCTGTGCTTGTTCTTGCTCCTTGGCGTGCTGAGACAGGGACCGCCTCCTGTGGAAAGATTCGGTCCTCTACAAAGAACTTCAGGTCTAGGGGATGCAAAGGATACAGCTGCCCAGAGAGAACAAGGGAAAACTAGGTTCCCTCTTGGAAAATGTACATAGTGTCCTGCTATGAGGATTCCAGAATGAAGCATCTGGGTTTTTCATAAAGGTACTCTTTGAGGTGGGAGGGTTCTCACAAGAGAGAGAGACTTTGGAGAGAGTTAAAGGAATGTTACTTGGCTGAGTGAGTGTAAGACCAAAGAAGGGAGATGGCCAGCCCCGAAGAACTGTCTTTTAGAAGCACACATTGTGACGCCGGTTTGTTACTAGTTGGAGACTGTAAAGGTATAAATTCATGAGAACTGGGAGGCCTTTTTGACTTTGGAAAGCCCCTTACTAATGCTTCCTAGCCAAACGGCAACTCCAGCTATCACTCAACTACATTTTCTTCCGCAACCTGTTGTTTTTGGAGTTGTTTAAGAAGAGCATCTGGGTTCCATCTATAATCCCACCTCCCGAGGTGAGAGGCTGGGGCTGTCACTTTGGCCTCCCCCTGTGGGCTAAGAGACTGCCTGAGATTTCACCAGCAGGAGTATTTTTAGCCTGGGAGCTAGCACGGCAAGGAAGTCTTTGATGTGCTGCTGCCATGAGTGAGCCATCTTGGTCTTGGACTTTTCCAGAAGGGGGTGACTCACTTTTATAAGCAGTACTGTCCTGAAAGTCTTGTCTTCTACTCTTGTGGTGACTTGCTTACCCGTGCATCAAAGTTGTGAACACATCTAATAAACAGCGTATTGGCTGGGCTTTCATTTTGAAAGGAGGAAGAGGGATCCTACACCGAGATGCAGGGTCTGAGTGGGAGGCTGGGGTGGGGGCAGGGCGGCAGTGTGCGCGGCCAGGCCCAGAGCTGGTTTCTTAGAAGTGAGCCCTGACCCGGAGACAACAGGCTGTTCGTTCAGGGGACAAAGCGTGCGTGAGTCGGCCTTCCCCCGAGCCCGTATTCTGCTTTGTTTGACCCATCTTTAGGGTACTTCTTTCCACCTCAGAAGACTGTGGCTGGCATGTAAGCTACACTGGGCTCAGACCCAGAGTGTCTCTCCTCTCAGCCTCAGTTTCCCAATCACGGAGGGTCACCGTGAAAATTGAATGCGGAAGGCCTGTGAGGTGCCTGGGGTGGTGCTAGACATGGTCCCAGCTGTCGCCGTGTGGTCACTTGGTACCTAATGCCTTCTGCATGTGGAGCTGGTACATTTGACTGGAGGTGAATTGGTTTGGAGGTCAGGCTCTAAGCCGGTGAAATTCTGGCTTTGACCAAACCAGCATGTCTTCAGACTTTAGTCCCAGAATGTCAAGGGCCCTCAGAGCCTCTGGTGGGTGGCGAGACCTCCTGTGGCTGCAGGTTTCGCGGAGAACCGCTGGGTGTCCCCGGTCCTGGAGTAGGCTTTTTTTCCTGGCCCTCTGCATGTGTTTACTTAAGACTCTGAAGTTGTCTCATGAGGAGGAGGAATGTCTGGGAGAGGTTGGTTGATACTTCTTCAGCCATTACGGAGGAAGGAGCCCGGGACTGGCCTGGTTCAGGATGACTGGGTCCCAGGATGGGGGCACATCCAATCCCAGGGCCCCCGCCGCCTCCTCGGTAGGCAGACTCAGGATCCTTTCCAGTGCTCACGCCACAAAGCCAAGAGCCCCACCACTCACTTGGCACCTGCCCAGGGGTGCCACCTTGGCCGTGACTGTGGAGGGATGGGATTGATCAGCACTTGCTTCTGAAGGTGTAGAGCAGAGTGTGTGTCTGGACCATCGTACATAATAAATATTTCTGCCAGAATAGGCCTCCTGACCCCAAACATCTTTGTGAGACAGGAACAAGGGGTCAGGGTCCAGGAAGAAACTCTCATTGAGGAGCAGCTGAGAAGGCCCTTTCCTTGTTTCGTTCCAGAGAAAAATTCGATGCCCCTGGTTGGGTGAGACTAGAGGCTACCTCTCCCTCACCCCCAGCCCTTTCTGCCCTCCACCCATGTGCCTGGGAAGCCAGAAGTTTGCCTTTGGAGAAGTGGTCATTTTCAGATCCCTCTGTGGCCCGCAGAGACTCCTGTGGCCGTTTCCAAGCCGGCACCTGTTTGCTGAGTCTGATGCTTTCTGTGGGTCCCTGTGTGAAAGGAAGCCTGGAGCTGTTCCTGTAAGCCGAGCCCAGCCCTTCCTCCTGCCCTGAGGAGCAGGCAGGGCTGTCTTTCAAGGCCGCTGGGCCTCAGAGCATTTCCACAGCCCCCGGCACCTTCCTCCTGCCGAATGGGGCTGTGAGCAGCTGGAAAACCCCTGCGTTTGCTGGTCAAGTCTCCTTCGTGGGACTCCTCATCTGTGTCCTGACGGAGGACTTTTCCCAGCTCTTCCCTCCACCCCCCCCCCCCCCCCCCCCCCCCGCCCCGGGATTAGGTGGCGCTCCCTGGAGGGAGTAGCTGTGTCTTGCTCTTTCTTGACCCTGGCTCTTTGCAAATATTTGGCGTGTAGAGATAGAGGGAATGAATGAGGGAGGGAGTGAATGGGGATGCCCATGGGCCTGCCGTGCGTTATCGGGGGCACCCTGTTTCCCCAGGTGATAGGGAAGGGGAGGGACTCTCCGGGCGACCCTTGTCCTTTCACTTTCTTCCTTCTCTGCCCAGTAAGCGCCTCTTACAGTATCCCAGGGGCTGCTGGGGCCCGTGGCTCTCCTCTCCTCCCCCTGCTGCCTGGGAAAGAAAGAAATAACGTACTTGCTAACAAATGAAAATTTTTTTCCTCCGGAGGTCCAGAGGGTAGCCTGACAAATGGTTTCTCTGGATCCCTGAGCAGGGCCAAGTGCCACCGAGGCCAGCAGAGCCCCCGGCACCTCAGCCTGCACTGTCACGGGGCACCTGCCTGAGCCCCGTCACCGTGGCCCAGCCCCAAATACACAGGCCTTCCTGCGCCAACTTGGGCTGCTTTGCTGGTGACATGACGTGAAAAAATATGCTGTGAGGCCCTGGAGGAGCATTGTTTGAATTCTGAACTGGCACCGGTCCCAACGTGCAAGTTCCTCTGAGGGACAGAGGCGGCTCCAGACAGCTCCACCTCCAGGACAGAGGTCAGGGCGGACTCCGCTTCCTCCTGTGGTCGTGAGCCTGGACCGTGCTCTGCTTTGGCCCTGTCTGCTTTCTGCTGGTGCGGGGGTGTGTTCACTCAGAATCCACCGTTGCTCCTCCGGGCTCAGTCCCCCACTCCCCTCTCTCTCTTGCTCTCTGTGACTCTCACCTCTAGAAATAAAACTCTGGAGAAAGGGACAAATTCGCATCTAGGGATGTCTATAAAGTCTGTGGCTTTAAGAATCTCTAGGCCACTCCATCTGTCAAATAAATAAATAAAATCTTAGGAAAAAAAAAAAAGAAAAGAAAGAAAGAATCTCTAGGCCATTGCCAAACGGTGATGAGAAAAAAATACTTCCTTGGGAGGAGGCCTCGAGGCCTCCCCAGGCGGGCTGACCTTGAACGCTCACCACAGGAGCCAGCGCTCGGGTTGCCTGTGCTGTGTGCGTGCCGCGTGTGGGGTTGGGGGTTGGTGCTGGGGCCCTGGGACTTGGTTTCCTCATGTGTCTAAGGGCAGTGAAAGCCCTTTCCTTGCAGTGTTAGTGTGAGGATAGGGGTAACAGCGGGCTCCCTGCACAGTGCTCGGCCTGTAGCGGGTGTTTGAAGCGAGAGCTGCTGATGGAGCCTCACCAGGAGAGAAGCAGTTCTCAAGCTGGAAGCTCCGCTTTCATCTCCTCTTGGAATACCTGTCAATATTTGATGAATGTTTGCTAAAAGGAGTAAGTCTTGGGGAAAACTCCGTGTGAATTTGTTCAGATCCCTCTCTGGCGGTGTGCACGAGGGGCTGTTGGGCCTCTGAAGGGCTTTGCTTTTTTCTCTGAGGGAGAAGAGATGCCGCAGGAGGGTTTTGAGCAGCGAGGTGGTGGAACAGGACTTAACCTTTTACAAGGATCACTCTGGTTACTGGGTTGAAAAGACTAGAAAGGCAAGGAGCAGGGCATTCTTGGACAGGTGTGGTCGTGGTTTAGGCACAGAATGGCTGTGGTTTGGGTCAGGGTGTCAGTGGTGCCGCTCGCTGTAGTGGTGAGATTCTGGATAGACCGTTAAGGTGGGATGGATGTGCGGAGTTTGCTGAAGGACTGGGAGGTGGGTGTGAGCAAAAGAACAGAGTCGGAAGTTTTGACCTGAGCCAATGGGAGGGTAAAGTTTCCTGTTTGACCAGGATGTAGTGGCAGCAGGTTTGGGAGGGGCCTCGGGCAGAGTTTTGTGCTTGTGCCGCCTGATCCCGACATCCAGGACAATGACCAGGAACTCGTGTGTTGGAAGAGACCACTCTCACCTCCGAGGTGCGGACCTCTTCTCTGTCTGCGCCGGGCTCTGGGGTTCCCATCTGGTTTCTCGGCGTCCTGTGTCGTCTCTGTGCCACCAGTGTGCTCACGTGGACCCCGCCAGCCTCCATCTGCCTCCTTGACTCAGACTCCTCCCTCCAGCTGGTGAAACCAAGTTCCCTGGGCTCTCTGCAGAGGAGGGTTCCTCTGTCCCGATCCAGGTCCTGGCCCAGATGAGATGCTCAGGTATTTGTCGAGCATGAATACTGTTTATTTCTTAGACCAACCTCATGAATAGGTGCTGTTATTACTATACAAAATACATCGATTCACTCTTGGTTAAAAACGAATTATAGGGGGGCACCTGGGTGGCTCAGTGGTTTAAACCGCTGCCTTCGGCTCATGTCATGATCTCGGGGTCCTGGGATCGAGTCCCACATCGGGCTCTCTGCTCAGCAGGGAGCCTGCTTCCCTCTCTCTCTCTCTCTGCCTGCCTCTCTGCCTACTTGTGATCTATCTCTGTCAAATAAAATCTTAAAAAAAAAAAACAAAAAACGAATTATAGGACACAGATGTATGTACATTTAGTTCTTTGAATTTTCCATACAATAAGGGAAAGGAAATTAGAAAACACTTATTTACTGGTGATTTAAGATCATAAAAATATTTGTATTGGTTCTTTTATTATTTTTACAAAGATGAAACGGAAACTTCCTAAGATATCCGTAGATTCTTAGGTGTCGAGTTACTTGGGAAGACACTCCTTCTGGGTTAAACACGTTTGTTTGTTCCAGCGACTAGGATTTCCTTGAATTGTTAAATGATCTGTCAATCTGACCCATGTAAAAATCAAATGGACCCTTTTAAAACAACTTTAGACCCTTGTGTCTACTTTTTTCCAGGTTTTTATTGATGTGTGCCAGGAGTCAGGAAGGTACATCTGGCTTTAAGCATGCAGCTTCAAGACTTTTCACAAGTCGAACACAAGAATGCAAGCAGCTCCAGTCAAGAAATAGACTGGGGCGCCTGGGGGGCTCCGTTGGTTAAGCATTCGACTTTTGGTTTCAGCTCAGGTCACGATCTCAGGGTTGTTAGATCGAGCCCTGCATCAGGTTCCAAGCTCAGCGTGGGGTCTCCTTGAGATTCTCTCTCTCCCTCTGCCCTTCCACGTGTACACACATGTGCAGTCTCTCTCTAAAAAAAATAAATAAATCTTTAAAAAAAAACAAAAAAAAGAAATAGGCCATAGCTCCCTCCTGCCCCCTGCAGCTTACTCCTCCCACCCCAAGCATAACTGCTATTTCACTCCTAAAATCATAGATTAATTTTGCTTGTTTTTGTATTTGTATAAATGGAATCATACAAAAATGTACTTTTTTGTGCGTATCTTCTTTCTACATTTGTAGGAAGCACCTGTGTTTCTGTGTGTAGGTGTAGGTTACGCGTTCTTACTGCTGCACAGTGTTCCACCCGTGCAGGGGTCTGTGTCAGCATCTGGGTCTTGCTGCTTTGCATATTCTGGTACCTGTCTTCTGGTGACTTCACAAGGGCACACACCTGGGAGTGGGATGGTGGGGCCCCCGGGGAAACAGGTGTCAGCTGCCTTCCAGGTTCTCCATCTCCGCGGCGGCAGTGGACACCGCCCTTTGCTCGCCATCCTCCTTAGCACTTAGCGTTCTCCGTTTCCTATTTTCTACTTTTATCTATTTATCTATTCTGTTTTGTCTTTTTATGCATTTGAGTGTGTTTGTAATGGTATCGCTTAGTGGTTTTAATTGATTGTTTCTTGGTGCCTGTTGGAGTTGAGCACTTTGTCATCTGTCTGTTGGCCATTTGGACATCATCTTCTGTGTCGTGTCCGTTCCATGCTGAATCTATTTTTAATCCTTACTGGGTATGTAAGAGAACCAGAATGGTGGCTCTGTCAGATCTGAGCCCACATCCACGGTGGAGCTTGGTCTCTGCCGTCGGTAGCAGGCCCGGCCTCCTCTCGCACCCCGGCCCTTCTGCTTCTGCCCCAAGCCTCTCTCTTTGGCTCAGTCCCTGCTGGTCTGCTTCCAGCTCAGGCATCTGGATAGTATCTTACCTTTGACCTAACAATTCCATTTCTAGGGGCCCATCTCATGATTGCAGGTGCCTAGAAAGGAAACATGAGCGTGTTCATCAATTTAGCATTGTTTGAAGAGCAAAAGTTAAAAAACCATCAGCCAGGAGTCTGGTTAAATAGGTTTCAGCAGAAACATTATTCAACCATTAGCTGTGCTCATGGGAAAAAATGCCCACAACATATTAAGTTGAAAAATACCTCAGCTCTGCCATATGGAGAGTTATGAGGGATTTTTCACTTTCTATGTTATGTATTTTTGCAGGGCTTGGATTTTTATAACAAGTTTGTTTTACTTTTGTTGCTGGGGGGAAAATGATCTACATACTGCTTCCAGCATCAGCCACAGCAGCTCAAAGTTACCCGTAGATCGCCTGAATGCATGGGTGATACGAGCAACTTTCGTGGCAGAAAGGGGGGCTTTGGTGTTGCAAGACTCCAAATAGTATTTTCCCTCTGTTTGAACATGAATAGTTCTATAGTAAGTAAGACAGAGGATCTTTTAATATGGAAATTGTTGAAAAAAATGAAACATCAGGTTGCTACTAGGCTGTGGCTGTTTTTAGCTCAGGGTTGGCAGGGGTCTGGCCATGAGATCAGATAACAGTAATGGCCTCCATTTACTGAGCATTTGCTATAGATCATGTCCATGGCTACGTGCTTGTCATAGAGGATCCTCTTCAGCCCTGAGGTTATGCTTTTCTGTAGGTGAGGAACCTGCGGCTCGGAGAGATAGAGTTTGCCCGTGTCTGCGCCTGAGCTTGGGTTAGAACAGAGACGGCCAGACCCCAGAGCCCCTGCGCTGCCTGCCGTGGCCACTCAGCCCGAACTCTTGGCTTTAGCTTTTCTTTAGTCTGTAACATTTTAAATAAGTAACAGTCTGAAATGGTAGCTTTAAAAAAGTTCTTCCGGGGCGCCTGGGTGGCTCAGTGGGTTAAAGCCTCTGCCTTCAGCTCAGGTCATGATCCCAGGGTCCTGGGATCGAGCCCCGCATCCGGCTCTCTGCTCGGCAGGGATCCTGCTTCCCTTCCTCTCTCTCTGCCTGCCTCTCTGCCTACTTGTGATCTCTGTCTGTCAAATAAATAAAATCTTTTTTAAAAAGTCTTTAAAAAGTTCTTTCTAATGTCCTCAAGCCACTTCTTCACTATAGTTGTCCTTTTTACATGTTTGGAAAACGGGGGAGTGTGGCTTGGGTAGGTAGCTTTAGAGGGAACTCGTGTAAGTGGACACATGGAGGTCCTTCGCGGTTGTACCACGGTTCTGAACCCAGTACGCTGTAGGGAACAAGAAATTGACAGCCACGCTGTTTCTCAAGATCGGTTGCAGTAATTTTGGAACTGCCTCAAAGTGTTACCCACCCTGACCCTGACGTTGTGTTCCCTTATGTGGCTAATATTTAGAGAGTGCCCTTATCCAGAGTGAAATTAAGCCCTGACAGAAACCGCTGCTAAGTTGGGATCCCAGCTGTTGCCACAAGTGACATTGGAAGGGCCAGTTGATACGTACGTGTGTAGGCACCAGGCAGAGACCGTTGTTAGCCTTGACTGAGGAGCAAATTGAAAACCTATGAATGAAATATTGGTCCCTGGCAGATTGCTCAGGAAAAAATTGGTGCGACTTTTGGGGCTTGGGGGTTTGTTGAGATTTGCTTCTGTGAGCAGGTTACGTGCCTCTCTTCCAGCCTGTCCTTCCTCCGACGTTCGTCTGACAGCTGGGTCAGCGTCCTGTGGTGTTTGCCCAAGAAAGTGCCTGCTCTTAGTAACACCATGGCCGTTTATACAGAAATCGTGAGGCTACGTAAGCCACCCTTCCTCTGGAAGAAATGACTAGCAGATTAGTCACTGGGAGTTCCTGACCTTCCGTGCTGTAAATGCCTCAATGAGCAGTGGTCTGAGGCTCTGTTCTCTCAAGTTCTCTCGGTGACCTTTGAAGCTGCTCTCAAAAATTTGATAAATTACCATAAAATAGCAGCTTATGGCATTTCCTTCTTAAGTGGAGGAGGGTTTTTTGTTTCCTTTGGTGAGGTATGGCCGTGAAGAAAGTGGACCAGTATGGCAGTCCCACGTGTTAGTGGGGATATGGAGCAGCTGGGACCCTGACAGTGGAATTGCAAAGTGGTGAAGCCATTTGGAAAATCATTTGGCAAAATCCACAAAATTAAATACAGTATATACTCTGTAGTTAAGCAGTCTGTTCACAGAGAGCGCTTGCATGTGTTCCAGGAGACAGGTATGAGAATGTTCATAGCAGTGTTGTTTCTAGAAGCTGAAAACAGCCCCGTGTCCATGGAAAGTGAAAGCGTGTACATATATTCCAGTGTGCTTAAATGTCAGACCTACCTCTGAGTGAAAAAGCAAGAATATGACAATATGTACAGTGTATTTCCACTTATGTAAAATTCACAAAGCTGTAAATTAAGCTATACTTATAAACTGTCAAAAAAAAGTAAGGGCTGAGGGGCGCCTGGGTGGCTCAGTTGGTTGGGCGACTGCCTTCGGCTCAGGTCATGATCCCGGACTTCCAGGATCGAGTCCCGCATCAGGCTCCCAGCTCTTTGGGGAGTCTGCTTCTCCCTCTGACCTTCTCCTCTCTCATGCTCTCTCTCACTCACTCTCTCTCAAATAAATAAATAAATAAAATCTTAAAAAAAAAAAAGTAAGGGCTGATAAACACAAAAATCAGAATCATGGGGAGGAGGGGGTGCCTGGGGGCTCAGTTAGTTGAGCGGATAGCTCTTGGTTTCCACTCTGATCCTGATCTTAGGGTCATGGGATTGAGTCCTGCACTGGGCTCCGTGCTTACGGCGGAGTCTGCTTGGGACTCACTCACTCTTTCTCTCTCACTCTCTCTCACAAGTAAGTTAATCTTTAAAAAAAAAAAAAAATCAGAGTCACGGTTACCCGTTTTGGGGACGAAAGGTGTGATCACGAAGGGGCATGTGGTAGCATCAGTGGACTTGAAAACTTTCTGCTTTTAGAGCTGTGTTGTCTCATATGGCAGCCACCATCCCAAGTACTCAGTAGACACAAGGGCCATCACGTGGGACGGTGCAGATACAGAACATTTCCATCATTGCTGAAAGTTCTGTTTGATAGGCCAGGTCGGTGGATGGATGCGTTTAATTCTAAGTTGTGTGTGTGTG